ATGTAGTTTAAGTATGGCTTAAGCACAGCAGCGTCTTTGGTTGGTTGGTCGTTTGGTTAGWGGATAGCGTTAAGCAATAATTTTTTGTTGCATATAGTAAAGTTAACGTAATTAATTTGGCACTAGCCAAATGTACGTACACGCCTGCTGTGTTCGATACATACCCAAGCTGTACGGGACCCATGGAAGCACCGGCGGTGCGCACCTCATCGGTGATGAGGGCCCGTGTCATCGACTCGGTGGTGTGGTTCAGGCCGCCCTCCTGCTAAAGATTGTGTTAAAAGTTTGCTTTGGTTTTTCAATTGCATTTTAACGGCTATGTGGTATATAATAGATATTTATATACGCCTTGTTTATGCAGTTAGTATCATTGTCGAGTTAATTGAAGCTTTCCGCCGCCAAGTCTTTGTGGTTTAATTGGGATATATATAATGCATATGTTTTGGGTGGGGTGGAGCGGAGAGTTAAAGCCAACACCAGAGCAACCATTGATCTTAGCCTAAGACACATACAAACATACATAAACAACCACATTTACTTATTATAATAATCAAAAACAAAGTCCTCCTATCCAGAGCCTAACATACAGACAGACAAAGAGGCAGCAGCACAAATAGTTATAGTTGATCTATATATAGTACATACATGTATATATATATATATATAACTTTATACAGAGATAACGACACGCAAAGTAGCCATGGAGAATGAGAGCGAGCGAGCGAGTCGGGTTTGGTTTTGTTTTMAATTCGCATAGATATTGTGTTCAGTTTGGTAAATGCGCAGGCTGATTCTGAGTTTAGTTTTCCATTGGATCTGGTCTTGTTTTGATCTTTGTTTTGGTTTTGGTTTTGTTTTTGTTGCTGAGTGGATCGACTAATTCATTGAGGTTACAATATTTACCCAAGCTTTAAATTTTGGCCCGGCTGATTGGCGCGCACGCCCTCCTCGCCCAACAGCTGCGCTTGCTCATCCTCGTTCTGGTTGTCAGCCATCTGCAGATAGCGTCGATATTTGTTTGATGAATATGTCGACGTGGATTTGTAAACCATCGGCACCGACTGGCAACACAACCGGGCGGAAATAACGTGTTGTTGTTGTTGTTGGGGTGGTGTGGTGGTGTTTGTGTTGGTTGTATATTTGGGGTGTTGGTATTTTGGGTGGTGCATTGTATTGCATTTGCAGGGTTCGGGTATTTGGTTCGTTTTGTATTTTGGATATTTTGAATTGTTTTGATTGGTATATGGAAAATAAAACGTAAAAACAAATCATAAAATAAACAACAAAATATATAAATAACAATTAAAGCTAATCATATTGATATGTACAAAAATACATACATACTTTAAAAAACATGTGCACAAAATATCAAAAAATCAAAGTAGTTAAAACATAACTCAAGCATGCGCGAAGAAGAAATATAATAAATCAGTTAAGGGGAATCAAACTGAAACTAAAACTAACTTGAAATATACAAGAACTAACGATTGTATTTACAGAGTCATATGCATATGTGTGTATACATACATAGAGAGCTAAATACTTAGTATAGGGGCGTGGACGTGTTGGCAATGGTAGTGCTGCATGTATTAAATGTTCTGGTGTATTGCGGTTTCAATTAAATTATAAGAAATTGCTTTTGAAAACAAAAGATTATGTAATCAAGAACCAGAGCTGCACCATTTGTGTTGTCAGAGGCTGAGTTATTGGTTAGCAAGTTGTTTTTGCCATATGTTAATTAGAAATTTTAGTGTCGAACTTTTTTTTTTCAGAAAGCCTTTGCCACGTAGTTGTAGTTTATATCTTAATTATCTGTTAGCCGGCGTTGCCTATAAAAAATGTTAGCCAATAACCGCATGCATACCTCATCGAAGAAGACCTGCGTCTTGCGCAGTATGTGCTTCAGCTCGGTCAGCTCCAGGAAGTTGCGCTTCAAGGCCTCCGCATTCTGATTGACCTCACGGAGCTCGTTCTCGAGCTTCTCAAAGGTGGCCTGCGGTGAAGAGTGTATATAGATATATATTTATATATGATAAAGAGAGGGGTTAAGAGTCTAGACTCGCCTCCAAATCAATCATTTCGCGTGGCTGTGGTGCCTCGGGACTCTCGCCAGTGTCCAGCATGGGAATGCCATCCTTTTTAATCTCTTTCTCCAAGTAACGCAGCTTGCGCTCCATCTCATCGCAACGGCGCACCTCATTGACAAATTTACGTTGAAATGCATTCACGTCCGGATTGAGCTGTATGCATTTATTGATTTGTTTTTCAATTCATTTTGTATTTTTATTTAATTTTTACTACTTACATCACGAAATTGAACCAATCCAAGCTCGCCGAGCTCCGAGACACAGGCGTAGGCAGCCTCGCTCTGTAGGAAGAGCTGGCAGAGTGCCATCTCCTCGCTACGGAATAATGAACCCATTTTGATAGCTCAGAGAGTCGATAACTAATTATGAGTCGCTGCAAATAGCAAGAATTTTTTTTTAATTCACGAAACTTCACCATGAATCACTGTATGTCACTGGGTCTCTCGAATGTATTTAAATGAAAGCTCTTTTGTTTTACTTTTATTTTTGTAATTTATCAACGTTATCAACGCCTCTTTTGTGGCGGAATGTGTGGCTGTTCTATCTGAAGAGTTGATATGCCAGCGCTATTCAGAAATCTCTATACCGATTTATTGATTTTTCATTTGTGTGGCAGATGAAAAAGAAAGTGCTGCGTTGTCTATGCTGCTGTTTTAGTTGGACTTTGCTCAGCTGGTCGCGCCACTTATTGTTTTTTAATGTAACAGCCTATTGTCATTTAAATGCGTTTATTCTTAAATTTAGTTTTTACTTGTTTAAAATTTTATTTGCACAGCTCACAACTTCTAATTACCAATTTCTTTCAATTTTTAGTTACTCTCAGTTGCAGTGTGACCGACGTTCAAAACAGCTAAAATGACATTAGTGAACTGGCATGAAAATACCAAAATACTAAATCGAACTTCAAGACACTTCATATAAACATTGACCAGAGTTTTCTGGTCAGTGACATAAGCTTGTAATCTTGAACTAGTTCTTATGATATATTCTGATATATTGACCAACACTTGGCGGCATTTTAAATGGATTTTCAACAATGATAAAATGCGTTTTCAGATTTTACAAGCTCAAACATGTATTATTTAAAGAAGATATTTAATGAAAATAAGATTTTAAAATTGCTGCAATTTGGCAGTGGCAATTTACTTGTCGCTGTACTATTTTAAACTTGCCTGTAATGAAGAAACTATAACAAATACCTAATTATACAATCCAATTAGCGTTTGTTCTAATTTGCATGTATTATGTACTTATTTAATAAATGGAAAATGTTGTAGCTCTTAAAGTACTTAATAACACCATCACATCTTCCGCCCCTTCTCTCCATCAGCAACCTTCCGCATTCCGCCCTTCCGCTCTTTGCTATTTGCTCTTAAGCACAAAGAGCGAGTCCTTGGATTTACATTGACGAACTACCAACGGCAGCCGCGGCGACAGCATCCGATGATGTGAATAAAGTCCGATGGCGACATTTTTCGGTTGGGCCACGAGTCAGTGTGAATCTGTAACTCGTGAGCGACGGAGTGATAGCGGCTAAAGGCTCGGTAAATGATTGAGGGAAATACACAAGCAAAAACAGCAAAACCAGCAGCAGCAGGAGCAACAACAAAAACAAATGAATAGGCATAGCAAAGTGGAAAGTGGAGATGGTCAAAGCAGAAAATTGGATTGCCGCTGTTTCAGCTACTATTTAATACTTGCCTCGTGCGGGACTCTAACTGTGTGTGTATATATATATGTATATTTATATGTGTGTGATACATGTGTGTGTGTGTGTGGGTCAGTGTGCCATTTTATGAACCACCAAAATGAATCAGACAACAAAGACAACATTTTTGTAATTGAAAAATTTACTGTTGGTTACATATGCGCGAGTTGGCGTTGTTGGTGTTCTTGTTCCTTTTGTTGTTGTTGCTGCCATGGCTCAGATTCTGGCAGGCGGCGCACCRCACCGCAACCCCCAAAAGTATGCCACAGAGCACAGCATAACCAAAAAAACAAAAAGGACAAAAACGAAAAAAAAAATCAATCGCTCTCGCTCGCACAGAAGTAGCAGCATCAGCAGCTAATTGTAGTCTTGTAAAAAATGTATAAACAACATTGAAATGATACACTAGTACAATATATATATAAATGGCAAATTAAAGCCAACAATTGGATAACAAAATTAACAGAATAGCCGGACCAAAGCCTAAGAGAAAACATTTTAGGCTTGCGCTGCTTTGTTTTGGGGCCGCTCCCAAAAAAAAGCGAACAAGAAATTTGCGAGTTTATCAACAACACGCAGCGAGAACAAAATAATTGGCTAAATAATGTCGAAGAAGAATACATACTCTGCTTAAAAGATCCAGAGAATAGTTAAATTCTACAATTTAAATACATGTATTCAATCTTGATTCAGTATTTAGCTCAAGATTTTTTATTTTATTTTTTTTTTAGCACAGCGGTTGACCTACTTCAGGTGAAGGTCTTCTTTGTTTTTGTTTTTTTTTTTTTTTTGGTATTGTTCTTAATTAGCTGCGCAAATTATTAAGTCTTTCCACAAACTTCTAAATTGAATAAATGCAATGAGCACTGAGGTTGTTTATAAATCAAAATGTAGTCGGTTTCTTAACAAGCGATGATTGCCAGCTTTACAAATAGATGTACTACTACAGTTATAGAAATCATCTGATCTGTTAGATCTAGTTAAGGTGAGCCCCAAAGTAAATCTAAATCAGTCCATTTATCTGTGGCTCTTGATTCAATTAAGACACACACTTACACACACAGATGCACACACGCGCAGCCCGAGACTTGATTGTAAAATTGGCTTTATTGTGCGGACCCCCAATTGAAGCAGTCGCGCACCCTGACAACTGCCTAAGTGATAATATCAGCGCCTTAACGGAGGCGCAATTGCTGCTTATCTAATACAGTTTCAGTCGCAAGCTCTCGCGTCTGCTGTAAAGATGACAATATTCCCATACAGCTAACTTTCAGCTGCAGCGGATAGAGGAACAAACAAACATACAAATGCACATGCATTTGACAAGTACAATATATATGTACATACATTCACAGAAATATATGTATATATACATACACATACGTGTGCGTGTATGTGTACAATCGCTAATGTGTACTAAATTTCGCGCAGTGCAGTGCTAATCCTTTTTTATAACGGCTTTATCCTTACATAAGGATTTGCGCAAATAATCACATAAAGCAAAAGGCAAAACAAAGTGCATTCACAACAATAGCATTAACAAAACAATAAACAAAAAGTGTTCAGCAACAACAACAACATTACACTCATCGGCAACAGCAACAAAAGGATATAGGCCAACAAAGCAAAAAGACTGCAATCAAATGCAGCTCCTTTTATAGGTGAGTACCAGTAAGTGCTAAAAACAAAAACAAAATCGTATATATTCCCAACAAAATTAAAAAGAATTAAATTAGGGAAAAGCCGAACAGCAGCGAAAGTGACAAAAAAAAAATACATAAGAAAATGCGAATACAAACATCAAAAAGGGCGTGTTGTGTCTTCAGCTGCTGCTCTCAGCAGCACTATATGCATGTGCGTGTGTGTATATGTATGGGTGGCTGTGAGCGTGCGTGTATGTATGTATGAGTGCGCTTTGTTGTTGTTTTTGCTGGCTGCTACATCATCAAGTTGGTGCCTTTGCTTTTACCGTTAGCTTTGGCTTTGGCTTCGGTTGCGCCTCTTTACTTTGTACGTAATAAAATTGATGATAAAATAAAAATGGATAATGGGCGATTTTCGGCTGTGGCTGTGGCTCTGCCTATGCCCGTGCCCGTGCCCGTGCGTGCCAGTAAGCTGTGAGAGAAAGAGAGAATGGAGCAACCTAACTGTGCTATGCTGTGTTTACCGCTGCACCCGCGTTACGCTCAGCTCGTTATACACCAACTAAGCACAACGCATTGCTGTGGCTCAAGTCTTCTCTTCATCCATTCGGCGTCCGTTCTGGCTGGCGTTCTCTTTCTTTGCCGTATTGTACTCTTTGTTGATAGCATAGCATAGCATCGCATAGCACTTCCACGTAGCCGACGAGGCTGTGTGGGAGCTCTCGAAGAGGCGGCGGCAGAGGGCGGAAGTCGTGCTGATAAGAATGCTTTAGTTGTTAATAGCAACGTGGCGGGTGCGATTTTTACCTTACCCAAAATCGCGATAATCAGCAATACAAATTAAGCAAAAAAGGTTCGTGTCTTTGGCCGAATTATTGATACCCTTGAATATATGACTTGTTAATAATAATAATAAGTTATTATTAGCTCATAGGTATGTCAATATAAATATCAAACACTTCATATACGCCTTAAATTTAATTATAAAATAAATTAAAGAATATAGTTTTTGGGGAGGAAATATAAAAGAATGGAAAAATTCCATGATTTATAAAACTCAATTTTTTCTTTTCTAAATTGTAATGATTAATCAAAATACATTTTCAATAAATTATATGTATAGGTATCAAACTTTTTTTTAAAAGGAATAACAATATTATTCCAAAGATTTTCAACACATAAAGTTATAGTTAGCTAAATAACTTTATAGCTTTATACTATTTTATGGATATTCGGTTGTTTGATTGGAGGACATTACAATATTAAACTAGATTTTGAACGTAAAGCATTTATTATATTATTAATTTAACCATTTGCATGGTTTCAATGCGATATATATAAATGCGTGGAGAGCTCATATCGGAATCGAATCATATCGAATCTCACCCTTGTTCACTGATATTCACTTGTCTGACTGGAGGAAAAATTCCAATAGATTTTGTATTATTATGATTACTCTACAATAAACAAGGCGAAAATATATGCATATTAAACTTATTATTTACTGACGCTCGTTTAGTATTTTATATACAATTTATAGAGTTTTTTGTTTACCTCAATATTTCCATTTTATAAATGTATATATTACATTCTAGTTAGCTGTATTAAAGGCATTGTAAATTAATTTCTACTCTATTCAATTTCATGTCATTTTCTACATATATTAAAACACTTAGTAGAGTCCATTTTTTTGTTGTTATAAAACTTCGTAGCCAAGATATACTCACTCAGCTATAACTGCCCTACCTTTGTCTACCTTTTTCCCATTGTCTAGGTCTAGAGCCATTAGCATAGAGCACGTCTTGGCATGGAGCTGGAAGCAGAGGCTTTCATTTTGGTTGGCCTCATTTAGCTGGGCTAATTAGCGAATATCGTGTCGATTTCAAGGGCCCATCATAATTGGCCAAATGCATCCTGGAGGCGCTTTCTTAAGTGCTGCCAATGGCAACGACTGCAAAATGAAAGGTAGGCAGCTCCCGCCCATTAATGACTGTGATAAGGTTGAATCTTTAATAGCTTTTCTAGCTTGCCAGTAAATCAGTCAGTCAGACAGGCATTCAGGCAGTCACTCCGTCAGTCAGTCAGTTCGTTAGACAGTTGGCCTGTTTGGCTGTCTGTCTGTCTCTGTCTCTGCCTGTTTGCTTTCAGCTCTGTCAGCGCCTTGACTTTGTTCCTTGACTCGTTGCCGATTGTTGTTGCTGCCTGACTGCCTCGTCTCTGGCAATAATGGCAATGACAATGACAATGCCAAAGCGCCAGCACTGTTTAGAAATAAATTAAAATTTCATTCAAGTGCTATTCTGACAAAACTTTCTTAATTACAAACGTAGAGCTGTGGCTGCTTCAAATATTGTTTGAAGCCGTTTGTCGTCAATCTATTGCTATCCTTAGCTGGGCTGTAATATCTCGTATTTAAGCAATTGCAGCACACAGATCATGAAAATTGCAATTGCGACTTTTCTGTTTTGTGGCTTGTTTTTGATTTGCTCTACAAAAATATGAAATACTCGGCTAACAATTGCCTGCAAATGACGGACACATTGTTACATTTGATAGTCGAGTGCAGATTTCGCTGCCACAACATCAGCAGAACAATGATAAGCATTCGCAATTTTAACCATGTGCACTGTGTTGGTTGCCCCATTGCCCGAAGGCACAAAAATCCCTCACGCCCACACACTGCGCTGGCTATGCAAAAATAATACACAAATGGTGCACAATAAAAGAAAAACAACAACAACGACAACGACGACGACGTCGACGAGCAGAACCACAGGGTGCCGAACGAGAGCAACAAGCGCAGCGCACTCACACAATTACTCTGGAAACAATAGGTGCACTTGAATACAAATTTTGTTCGTCTGGCAAATACCCTGCAAACTGCTTTCAAATGGTAGTAGAGCTATTAAAACCAATATCGATAGCAATCATTGATCGATAGACTTTATTTGAACAAGCTCCACTTTAGTTTGATGCTTCCCCTAAGGGAAGGGGTTAGCTCAAATAACATTTGAAACTGACTCTCTCTTTCCTTCCTGATAAATAATTCTTATTTATGTTTTATTTATTCATTTTTTAAATAAAAATGTATTCTTACGTTATGTTTGTTTGTTATATATATCATTTAATGAAAAATTTATTTATTTAATTTTATCTTTTAATAAACTAAAAATTACTGCTTTTATGTATTATTTATTTAATATTATTCCTGATCCTTTTATTTAACAGATTAATAAAAATAATTTTAGTGACGCTGTGATACCTAATTTATTTACAAGTTTTAGTTTTATCTTTTTAATAAGTTAAATATATTTTGTTTTCATTAATTAGCTCATATTTTGGCTGAAATTAAAAATAATAAATAATTGAAAATAATTATTCTTAAAAATTAAATAATTTACGGCTCAATAATTAATCAATCAATTAATCTATAGAGTGCAATCTTGGTGGGAATAAAGTCAATTATATGAATTGGCTATGTGGTAACCATCAATTTGATATTCAGTGCCCAAAACTTATTGTATGCTCAATACATCCTCTTTCACTTGAACTACAGGGTATATAAAGCCGCAGCAACGCATACATAAACAGAAACCTAGTCGCTTTTGGAGCGTACTTGGTGTGCACTTAGATGAAAATGACAGCAGAAACAACAGCATCAGCAACAACACCAACAACAGCAAGAACAACAGCAACACCAACAACAGCAACACCACCAACAACAAAAACAACAGCAACAGTCGACCATGTCGAGTAATGACAGCAGTCGCATTTAACAATGGGGGCACTGGCTAAGCAGCGGCCACGCCCACTCATGCTACCAGAGGCGCTGCTGTCATTCATTCATCCATTCATGCGCTCCACTTGTGCAGCACTGGACGCAACCGGCTGCCGTGTGTGTGTGTGTGTGTGTGTGTTCAGTGGGTGGGTGTGTTTGGTGGGAGGCTGCAGCTGTGTCATTGTTGTTGTTGTTGTTGCTATTGTTGTTGGGGCAACACACTTAAGTGGTCGCTTAGAGTGTGCCACGTTTTGTGTGTAGTTGCTTGTTTATGAATAAAAAATAGTTATTTGCAAAACGTTTAGCAACAGCAGGAGAGCCAGAACGTGAACGCAGCAGGATGTGGAGCCAAAGGCGATATGACAAGTTCGCATATGTACATACATATGTAAGTAACTCGTATACACACATGCATTTCCATACACAGAGATATCAGTATGTGTGTGTATATATTTATAAAGAGAGTTGTTTAGGGCTAAGATACTTTGGTACTTTTTTAATTAAATGTCAGAAAATGACGCTGTTCACAGCAAACGGGCATCTTTATTATGCTCCCTGTGTGTGTGTGTGTGCGAGTGTGTGCGTGTGTGGCAATTCAATTGTGGTCTCCGGCCACAGAAGCGCACCCGAGAGTGCCATAAGCTGGCCTACAGCGATGAGCCAAGATAATTGTTACGTCATTAAGCGGTGTCTGCAAAAACACATTAAAAAATAAATAAAATAAAACAAAGTCCAATATAAAGTAAAGGAAAACAAACTTCAAATTAATTCAGATTGTTTCTTTTAATAGAAATATAACTAAACAGTGGAGCAATTTTATGGGTTTGACAATTAAATACAAATTCGCAGCGACAAATGCGGCAAAGCGTAAACAAGCGAATTGGTAAAAGGTGAACAGAAAAAAAAGCAACAACAAATGTCTGCGGTGCGAGCATAACTGTAAAAAGGGCGCTGCTGGTTGGCAGCAATAGCAGCGGCAGCAGCGCAGCAGCCGCACCATAGACAAACTCGCGTCATGCTGGACTCGCTGAGCTCTTTCTGTCGCGCTCTTATTCAATGGTATATGGCGAGCAGCGCAGGCGCGCTCTCTTACTCTCGCTTACTCTCTTCCTTGGCTTACTGCGTGCTCTCGGTCTGTAGCTGCTCTTACGCTTCGTGTGCTTGTGTGTTTGTGGTGTATGTGTGGGTGGGTGGCTGGGTGTGTTGGTTGTGTGGGTGCAGTTCCTCATTGGCGCAGCCAATGCTGGTATTTTTTTTTCTTGTATATTTTTTTGGCAATGTCAATGTAACTTTTATCCAACTGACGCTTCACTGGTTTCTTTTACTGCATCAGCAGAGCCACCGCCTGCGTCTCAGTCGTTTGTGGCGCTGATTTAAATGGTGCTGATAAGGCGGCATTATGATTCGAACTGTTCCCAGCTACAGCCGTCACATAACACGTTCAGCCTACGCGCTGCTTACGTGTATGTGTGTGTGTCTGCGCGTCTGAGTGTGTGAGTGTGTGGGTGAGTAGTTCTGGCATGCCTTCGGGCGCATAAGTTTACAATTGACTTTTAACGATATGGTACACACATGTGTATGCGCGCGCGTGTGTGTGTGCCTGTGTCTATGTCGGTGTCTGTGTGAGTGTGCGAATTTATGCTTTATCATTTATTGTTAGTGGAACTTGCAGACGTCAGCCCAGCACCAGCCACGCCCCGTGTTGTCTATGCTGCGTGCGGCCATTTTGTTGCCATGTTGCCATTGATTGCTGTCACTTTTGTTGTTGTTGCTGCTGCTGTTCTGATAATATGCTGTGCCTTTGTTTTCGTAGCAATAAAAATTGGTTGTAATTTAGTCGCACGTGTGTGTGTGTGTGTGTGTGTGTGTGTGTGTGTGTGTCTATATGTGTGCTTGTGGAGATTGATACGCGCTGCGCTTTGTTTTGTTGCCGTCTTGCCTTCGTCTTTTTTGGTTGGCTGACTACGTCTCTACATGTCTCTGTCTATACCCAATTAATTCCATTGATATGCGTGTTTCATTTCGCTCATTCCTTTTGCTATATTTGTGCTGCATACTCTGCGGCTGGCCGCAATTTGCATAGTCTTTTGGGCAATTATGGAGGCTGCGTTACGTGAGCAGCATAATTGACCAGCTTGGCTAGGCTCGTTAGGTAGCCGACTTAATAGGAATCGTATGTCGACTCCACTGTATATGTAATGTATATATCTACCTATATATATATATGTGTGCATTCAAATATTTATTTTGCTGTCAGTTACAAATGTATGCTAGTATTGCAACGTGTTGGCAAACACATAAAATTTGCAAAAATTACATTACCCCCGGCAAAGGATTGCGAAAAGCAGGAGCAGCAGCAGCAGCAGCCGCTTCATCATCAAGGATCGTTGGCTGGCAGACATTGCCTTTTGTGCGGCGCCAATTTGCATTTGCATCCAACTCGAGCTGGGTGGCAGCAGTTGCTCTACTTCGTTTATCTCCACTCACATTTCTCAACCTGACTCTCTCTCTTTCTCTCTTTTTCCATTTCGTTGCAGGCAGCAATTTTAGCATTGGAACAAAAGACTTTTTCTCTCTGGCTGCATTCTTTCCATTTTGGTACAACTGAAGCAATTAACTGAAAATGTAGCGCTGGCAAGGACATGGCCAAAGTGAAACAGCAAATGCCATGCGATGCTACGAGCATAAATGTAAGTATGAGGGGAAATGCATGTCGGGCTGTGGGCGTGAGTGTGGGTGCAGGGCGGTGGGCGGAAGGCGGAGGGCGGAGGGGATATGTGCCTGTGCGTGCATCTTGGCTAATTGCCTGGGTTATGCGCAGCGGCTAGAATCAATAGAGCAAGCTGTGAAAGCAGACAGAAAGCGCCGCAGCTGAAACTGTTTGAAAGTACAATTCAGTTTCATTTGCTTTCCATTTGCTGCAGCGTTGCATTAAGTCGGCGGCAGCAGAGAGTTTCAGCTTTCAGCTGCTGCCCTCAATATCAGTCCTTTATATGTATATATGTATGTGTGTAAACGTGTGTGTGTGTGTGTGCAAGAGTGTTTGTTTGTCTGTTCACTGGCATCGGATTTTGTTATCACTGCTCTGCCTAGCCCTGCAGGCATTTGTCATTCTCATAGCTTACACTTACAATATATGCAAGACAGCCTTTGTTTGCTGCACTAATCAACTGATCTGAATGCAGGACACGCCCCTCAAAGGACTACAAAAGATGTCTGGGTGTGAGCAATGCTAACTACATGACTCCAGGGCACGTTCTTATTGAATAACCGCACCGATTGCAGCACCCCGAATCTGAATAACAATAAAACGTTTCGGCTTTACGTATTCTTATTCTCCGCCCCATTCTTCTGATAAGCTTCTGAAAGCAACTATGAAATATTATTCCTTTCTAATTGTTTAGCCAGCATCTTGTTTTACAATATATAATAGATAAATTTATATTTATGAATCATTGGCTTGGGTTTGAGAGATGCTTTTACTGAAAATGGGAAAATAGTATATTACAGCCAAAAGGAGTTCTTATAGACTCCATAAAGTATTTAAGTGCTTGAAAAGAATGACGATTTGAGTCGGACATCCATTCGTCTAGCAGCAGATGAAGGCATGGCAGACCGCTAAAGTATATATATATATTTGATCGATTGAGAGCTGCTTTTACTGAAATCGGGAAATTAGTGTATTACAGACTCCATGAAGTATTTCAGTCGTCCCTCCGTCCGTCCATGCATTCGTCTGTTCACTCCGGTTTTCGTCTTTTCATATATATGCGTCGATCTCAGAACCCATTTCAATTATTTATATACTTTTTTATACATTAAATAAAATCATTAAAATCAGTTTAGCGACATAGAATGTATTAAACCAATGAAGAGCTTGTATTTTAGATGTGATATAATTAAAATAGCTGATTGAACCTGGCTTAGGGTATTTTCTAGTCAGGCAACTCCAAAGTTGAGTTAGCTTACTTCATTTATTCATTTCTTTATAATACTATTGTTAAGTGATATAATTTACCTTGGCGCACCTTGCTAATTTTAATAGCGATTGCAATATTTTCTTAATCAATCTAGAATAAACTTAAAACAGAATTAATAAAGAATTAAATATAATTAAAATACTTTTAGCCGCTATAGTGTTGATTACAATTGAGTTTTTATTAATATTTATATATAGATAGATGGATAGATAGATAGAAAATATGGACAGTAAGATGGCCATTGCACAAATCCAATATACTCAATTCACTTTCGTGAATGAGTGTAACTAGGCCTTTACATTAAGGCTAGAAAACAGAATTAATAAAGTTATCAAAATTCTATTAGCCCTTGTAGTGTTAATATCAATTTAGTTTAACTTAATCTGCTGTTATGATTTAGACCTTCAAGATATACAAATAGTTACCCAAACACCTTAATATTAAAGTTGTTTTCAACTAAAAGTTTGCCAAGGCAGCAACTTGGGCTCCAATCCGGCAGGAGGAAGAACTTGCTGTGTTGCTTAACACTTTTATTGTAAAATTGAAATTTGATTTGCTTTTTAATACAACGTCAGCAGGAGCCGGGATAACGTTGACTTTGTGCCGGGTCATGTCCCAATCACTTTTACAACTTTTACGTAATATCCTTTGGGCTGCGTGGCTAATGTTGTTGCCAGGTCCACAACAACAGTAAAAGCGACAACAACAGCAAATCGAGCTAACACTAGGCGACAACAACAATGTTAAGGATAGTAAAGCTCAGGTACAAAATTTCTGGCACAAAAGAAACGTCAGCTAGGACACAAGAGCAGCAGGAGCAGCAGCGGCAGCTGGATAACAGCTCGATGGCACAAAGGCCAGGCACAAGTGCACCACATTCTTCTGGGTGGTGTCGCTTTTGGTGGCTTCTCAACGAGCTAAACAAGCGCCGCCAGCTGCGGCAGGGCGGCTCCGTTTCGAGTTTGCGGCGGCTTCATTGGCTGCATTTGAAATGCCAGGCAATGAGGCATATAATCTGAACGAGCTAACGTGGCGTGGGGGCGTGGCTGCAATTGTGAATGTGGGCGGCACAGTGGACAGCAGCGAAGGCGGCATAGAGTTGACACAAAGGCAAGACTGCAAGGCTGAGGCGTTGGTTGGCTTCTCTTCCACAAGCAGCGGTTGATAATGCAGGTGTATGCGTGTATGTGTGTGTGTGTGTGTGTGCGTGCGTGTTGCAAGTGACCTTCTTTGCATGTGACACACACGCGGCCTACACGTGCCTCGGATACCTGAGCCAGTTCTTCGTTCCGGTCGGCGTGCATTCGTTAACCAAGACTTCAGCTACAGCTTCGCTTGTATCCCGTATATGGCACATGCATCATGTAACACGGCACGTAAATTCGTAATAAATTTGGAATTATGTGGCACATTTGGTGGCTCTGCTCCTGCTGCTGCGGCAGGGGCTGAAGGCCAAACAATTTGCAACTTGCACTTTGATAATTTATGTTGCCTACGCCCAGTTCTAGTCATACATCAAATGTGTGAGTCTGTATATGTGTGTGGTTGGGTCTATGTGTGTGGGTGTGGATATGGATTGCCACAGACGGCCTTTCAGTTTTTCAATTTGAGCCATCTTCAGCAGGGAGCACACAAACAGCATGCCATGAAAATGGATTATGCCGCACGTCAAGGATATCACCGGGCTGTTTATATTCCGACAGCCGCTGTCAGCAGCCAACTGCATCAAGTATTCAGGGCCCACACTCGTATCCATATCACACAGAATAATCCCATCCATCCATTCTCGATCCACAAGTGTTGGCTACCATCGGCTAATTGCACTCATTAAAGCGGTATTCATCGATTCGAGTTGCCGTCAGCTCAATTGGGCAGATGCAATTGCAATTGGAGCTGCAACTGCTCCAGCTGCTGCTGCTGTCACAGACATATGCAATTACCCAATGCGATTGACATACGTAATTGATTTAAACGCATGTTTGATACTCACTGTGAAACGCAATTCGATTTTCGATTGCATCGCATCACATTTCATTTGAACCTTTACACATCCAAATGGATTTTCGGTTTATTTATATCTGCATACGAACTGAAGAGCGAGAATTTCAAATATATTGTACATGAATACAGATTTATTGTGCTAGGAATTTGTTTTATTATATTTAAAATGTTAATTCTGTAATATAATTAAAATTAACATTATTAAATTATGTATTTTATGCTTATAATATTTAAATAAGACAAAGACATCAATTGACTAACAGATTTTGGTTTCTATTTAATAAACCTACTTAACATACATTTGAGTTTTAGATTGATTTTAAGTAATAATCAAATTGGAAAATGGCCAAACTTTAACTGAGCAGCTAACAAAAGTGAAAATATATCATAAATATCATATATGAATTTTATATTA